AGTAAGGGCAGTGCAGTGACAAAGGCGCTGCTCTTACCGGACAGGGCGGCTCAGGCGGCTCGGCGGCTCGGCGGGTCGGCAACTCGGCGGCTCGGGCGGCTCGGGCGGCTCGGCGGTACGACGGCTCGGCAGCAACTGCGGCTCGGCGACTCGGCGACTCGGGCGGCTCGGCCGGCTCGGTGGTACGGCGGTGCGGCAGCAACTGCAGCTCGGCGGCTCGGCGACCCGGCGGCTCTGGCGGCTCAGGTGGCGCGGCGGCGAGGCCGGGTGGAGCGGCGTCGGGGCCGGGTGAGGCGGCGCCGGGGCCGGGAAGGGCAGCTCCGGGGCCGCAGGGGTAGGCGACGGGGCCAGCAGAGGCGGCGCCGAGGCAGGGAAGGGCGGCGCCGGGGCCGCAGGGGTAGGCGACGGGGCCGCGAGGGCGGCTAGGAGGGGGGGGGGGTCGCGAGGGCGGCTTGAAAGGGCCGCGAGGGCGGCTAGAAAGGGCCGCGAGGGCGGCGTGAAAGGGCCGCGAGGGCGGCGCGACACGAAGGAGCCGCGAGGGCGGCGGATCGGGGCCGCGAGGGCGGCGCGACGCTGCCGCTAGGGCGGCGCGACGTGAAGGGGCCGCGAGGGCGACGCGACGGGGCCGCAAGCGCGACGCGACGGGCCCGCTAAGGCGGCGCGATAGGGTCGAGAGAGGGGAGCGCGACTCGGGCAGTGGAGAGCGCGCTCCGGGCAGGAAAAAAAATGTGGTGGGCCCTAGGAACAGTTCCCACAGGGGAACCTGCTCGATACCATGAGAAACTGAACGAGAATGAATTGACTAAGAGAAAGTTGGGTACAAATGTAAACCCTAGAAAACTGTACCCCATATGTGCTATCCCACTATAGCCTACAGTAGCTATGTCATATAAATCTGACAGTGACGTGGTGCTGCGGAGTCCGTATGTAGTAGTGAAACTGGAGAGTGTGTTGCTGGTTGCGGATTTGAAGGTGAACTTGGTCAGTCAGTCACAGCTTGATGACTTGGGATGCAAGATATTCTATGACAGTGGTGAGGTGACTGTGTTTGGTCTTGAGTGGGAGAAGTATGCTGATGGTTACTTCAGTGACGGGTTCTATGAGATGAACTTGGTCGCGACGAATGATATGGATGAGATCTATGAGGATCCTGAGTATGGTGAGATGGGAGAACTGGAGGAGTTATTGACTAAGGTTGATAAGAGCGAGGACACGGATGATACGGGAGCGAGTGTGGAGGCAGCAGTGAAGCAGGAAGAGGAGATAGTGATCAAGGAGGCAACAGCAGTAAACGGTGGAGATGGAGACGGTGTCAACACTTTTGCAGCAGCGATCGTGGTTGAAGATAAAGCAGTAAATGCGAAGTGTGTGGGAGTTGAAGCTGTGAAAGGGGACATCATGGTGAAAGGATCAAAGGCGAATGCAACTGCCAAGGGGCAAGTGCTTAAGGAGGATGAACGCGTTGAAGGGTACGAGACCCGAGAGGTGTTGGGTGTAAAGATGCTGAGGAGAAGCGAGAGGCATAAGAAAATCTCTCAAGGTTTGGATGTCAAGGCGCTCAACTTCAAGACACGTAAGCAGAGGTTCAAGGTGCAGGAGCTGCAGGGGAGCGTGAAGCCGACTTAGACCCTGTGAAGGCTACAAGGAGCAGGGGAGCAGTGCGAGTGGTGTTCGTGGTTGACGAACCACAGGGGAGATTGTTAGGGTTGGTTCGCCCAACCACGGAACCTAAGGCGAAAGCATCTACGACGGCGGAATGACGACGAAATGGAAGCGCGTGTGTGAAACGGTGGAAATCGGCCTACGGTGGGGAATAGAGGCTACGGCGTGAGAAGCGGGAGAGAAATTGAGAAGAAATGTGCTAGAAGGAGGGAGAGAGAAGGAGAAGCATCGAGAATGAGATTGACGAGGGGAAAAATGTGCTTCGAGACCAAGGCGCGTTCGAGAAAGTTCGGGATTCGGACTTGCGGAGTGTTCACCGAATTCGGTTCGGTTGCGTGTGCGACTCGGGGTGAAACGAGGCGCACGCGGTTACTTGGGAAACAAGTGAAGTTACGAATCTCATTTTGTGTCTTGCCTGACTATAAAGCTGCTTGTACTCATTTTGGAAATCATACCAATCAGATTCTGAAAATTGCTGGTGTAATGACAACTTCAAGCAGAGCTGCGCATATCATTGGATTCGGGAGATCGTGGAGAACACGATAGGCGATAGCAAGTAGACTATTGCCGACTAAGGTGCTTACGATCCTAAGAGTTAGGTTGATAATACCAATTTTGGTCCAAATTTAGACCAAACCAAGACCCACTACTTTGTGATGGCTCCCCGTCCCCCCAACCTAGCGGAATATTGCGTGATGTTGGATGATTGAGCATCCCCACCTCTCCTCCTTTCCCCTCCCTTCCCTGCACCACGAACACTACAGGTGCTCTCCCTCCTCTCACCCTACTCTCACCCTCCTCTCACCCTACTCTCACCCTCCTCTCAGCCTCCTCTCACCCTCCTCTCACCCTCCTCTCACCCTCCTCTCACCCTCACCCTCCTCTCACCCTCCTCTCACCCTCCTCTCACCCTCCTCTCACCCTCCTCTCACCCTCCTCTCACCCTCCTCTCACCCTGTTTCCTAAGTTACTGATTGAGCATCCCGCCACCACCCCTCCCCCCCCTTCTTCTCCCCCCCCTTCCTCCTTCCACTCTTTCCCACCATGCACCGCAGGTGCTCTCTTGCTGCGGCCACGTGCGGATCGTGAAAGGCAGAATCTACTTCCGTTTCGGCGGCTTCGAGTTCGACTGGTTCAAGATGCGCCGCTTCCTCTTCTCGATCCTCATGATCAAAGAAGCCATCGCACGCTACAGCCTCCATTCCCTCACCGCCGAATTCTTCATCAACACGTGCGACGCGCACATCAGCAAAGCCTCATCTGTCGCAAACCGCCGCGCCGGCCTCCCCGTTTTCAGCACGCACGGCTCCATCGGCAGCATCGACATCCTCTACCCGGACCCGGTGGATCTGAGCGAAACTTACTTCCGCCGAAGCGAGGCGGATCAGGTACCTTGGGAGCAGAAGCAGAGCCGTGCTTCTGCTCATGTTCCGAGGGACCATGACCAATTTCCACCTGTTTTACGACCGGCAATGGCGCCCCAGCCCGCGAATGCGCCTCCACCGCATGTCAGACGTGCGGCCAGACCTGATCGACGCGAGGCTTGTGAAGGGAGTGGACCCAGTGTTTCTAGATGAGCTGCGGGAGGATGGGATTAAGATGGGGGGTCGACTCGGTCCGGCGGAGTTGCAAGCGTTCAAGTATGAGATCGAGGTGGACGGTGGTACGGGGACCTGTCGCACGTGCGGGATTCTGGCAAGCAACCAGATGATCATCAAGCACGCGAGCGAGTATTTTGAGTATTTCTACCCCCTCCTGTGCCCATACCAGCACTTCGTCCCAACACACCGATACTTCGATGATTTATTCGAGCGGATTGAGTGGGCTCGGGATCATGACCTCAAGGCGCAGCAGATTGTGAAGCAGGCCAATCGGCTTGCAAGGGACGTGTGTACATGGGAGGGCCGGCGTCTCTACTGGGCGATTCTCCTCGCGAAATATTCCGCCAGCGCGCTCGAGGATCCTGCCAACGTAACCCGCCCGGCTGTCTTCAAATGCACGGTCCCTCCAATCCAAGGTGACGTGGTGATGCACGGCATTCGCTCCAAAGAGAAGCCGGAAAAATGGTACCCCAGGTGTGGGTCTCCAGAGGAAGATGAGGGGCAGTCCCTGTGTACCCACTGGTGCTCAGGGCGTTTGGAAGAGTCCAAGTGGAAATGGCTTAGTGCCGACATTCTGAGTGGAATTCAGGGCTTCAAGCCGCAAATTCCCGGAAATAAGTTCCGAGATGTGTAAAGGCCTGGACTGAATGCATGCTTGGGTAAACTGAAGAAGCTTGAGTGGATGTGGATCACTGGGGCATTCTCAGTGTCACCTAGGTCGGCTGGGGAGTTTCTGCCAGAGACATGCAGGTGCCTAGATCCTTCATGTTACCTCGTCACTTAGGTGTTGTCTACCTGTGTGTGTGGCATAGGGCATGCTTTATGTCTCGAGGGGAATCATGAAGTGCTGGCAGTGGGCGTTCTGAAACAGCCAGCACAATTGTTGTTTACATAGAAATTGCTGGCTTGCACAGTGTGTATAGAATATGTTGTACAGGCCCTCAGATTCGTTTTTGGGCTGTCTGATTCGTCAGACTTAGTACACATTTTTAGTCTGATCAATCAGACTTGGTACAAAAAAAAAAACCGAAATTTCAGAGTTCAATCGTATAAAAGTCTGATAGTCCAAAGTTCACATCAGTAGTGAAGCTGATTGATCAGCCTAAAACGGGGTGATAACCTCGCCGCAGCGCTGTTGTCAATGTTTCAGTGTGACTGACACGACAAATTTGTACTTCCAGCGCTAATCGCGGCTGTCAGGTCAGTAGGTACCCGCTAAAACGCTCTTGGGATCAGAGTACACTCTGAGAAAAAGTCTGAAATATCAGACAAGGCATAGAATGTTTTTCTGAATATTCAGAGTTCACAGCAAAACAAACGCTGAACTTTCAGAGTTCACTAAATAAAAAAGGGTGAATATCAGAGTTTTTTAGGCAAATCAGAGAAATTTCTCTGACTTTTGGGGGCCTGATGTTGTACCTAATTCACATACAGCAGTACGGTATGTATCACCCATAATTGAATTGAATGCTTCTTTATTTACCAACTGAGTACCGTCATCGCCCGGATATAAGACAGTGTTGAATAGTAGACAGGGGTTGTCTACTATACGGGTGTCTCTTATAAACAGGCAAGCCTTTTTATACGACACCTATTTGTGTGTACGAGATAAGACATATATGTCTTATAATCAGAACCGGGGTTTAGGGGTTTTCTTATAAACAGGGGGTGTCTTCTAAACGAGCCTACACTACTTTAGGGGGGTACATCCATACATTCATGAATCCCTACTTCTACCTAACCCCCCTCAGTAACCGCCTCCTCTGCAGCACTAGCAACAGGCTCTACGCCCAGGTCTGGCACTCGCCAGGCATGCCTAGCCGTCTCCCTTGGCTCGATCATGCGGTCAGCCTCGGCCGCCGCTCCGCGGTAGTTGGGGGTCTCCTGGTACAGCACCTCCAGGCCAGTTGCCACGGCCACCTCCCGCACGCCCTCCGCCTGCATCGCCTCCTCCTCCTCCTCCTCCTCCTCCTCCTCCTCCTCCTCCTCCTCCTCCTCCTCCTCCTCCTCCTCCTCCTCCTCCTCCTCCTCCTCCTCCTCCTCCTCCTCCTCCTCTGGAGCCTTCCGAAGCAGGCGCGTGTTGTCGCCTGTGGTCCCCCCGAGGGACATGTCCTCGGAGACATCGGTGGTGCTCCTGGCGCGCAGGTGAGACATCACCAGGTGGTTCTCCGTTCCGTCCAGCTTGCTGGAGATCCCACAGTGGCGGAACGCGTCGATGATGATCTGCCTGGGGACTTGATCCGAAGCCTCCGCGATCCACTGCAGCACCACGGGGTGCGGAGGCCTCCGCAGGTTCCCTGCGAGTGGGACAGAGGACACGGCAGCGAGATGTTAACGATAAGGACACGAAACAGAGCAGGAATTTAAAATGAACAGCCAACTCACCCTTCTTCGTCTTCAGGTGAATCCCTTCACGCATGAACCACCTGGCGTAGCGCGCTCGCACGGCAGCCTTGAAGCACCGGTTGATGGAGACGTCCAGGGGTTGAATCTGGCTCGTACAACCCGCTGGAATGACTGCAGGGGTGATGCTGTGCGTGCGGTACGACTGAAGCATGGTCTGGGTGATGTGGCCGCGGTAGGAGTCCAACACCAGCATCGCACGCCTCGCGCTCTTGCCGCGCTGGGGGTTCAGATGGGGAAGCACCTCCTTGGACAGCCAGGTCTGCACAGCGCTCTCGTCCATCCACCCGTTGTCCTGTGCTTGGACCACGATTCCTGCCAGGCACACAAGGGACAGACGGACATCAGCACAGTGGGGCACGCTCATGAGGCAGGGGCAAGGTTGAAGTCATGGCGCTTACCGTCCGGAATCTCACAGTTGGGGACGTTCTTCATCTTGAACCACACCCACGGCCGCAGCTTCTCCCCGGATGCAGTGCACGCGAGCATCACCGTCAAGTGCGTCTTCTGGTAGCCTGCAGTGCGGATTGGGACCGAGCGCGCGCCACGGTGCTCGATCGTCCTCTCGGCCGGCATCTCCACGAACAGTGGCGTCTGGTCCGCGTTGATGATACGGGCCAGGTCGATGTTGTGCCGCGCCCTGTTGATGCGCACGAACTTCCAGAAGGACTCGCAGTCCTTCGCGCACTCTGCAAACGGGACAGGAACAGAAGCGAGGGACGGTTAGACAACGAGCAAGGTAAGACATGCATACAATGGGCCGTGCGCGGCACGAACTCCTTATCCACGCACCTGCCGACAGACGTTGTTCGACCTTCGTCTTCACCCGCATCACCAGGTTCCAGCGGTCACGGAAACGCTGGCTCCAGTGAGAGCTCGCGTTCCAGTTCTTGCCGGGGTAATGCTTCTTCATCCACTCGCGGCTCCACTTTTGGGTGTCCTTCACCGAGATGGCCACCCCGTTAGCGCGCTGAAGGCAGATGTAGCGGTACAACGCTGCCTCCATGTCGGGGTAGTGTGCGTGGCGGCCCCCCCCGTGCATCCGCTTGCAGCAGTTAGCCGCGCCCTTGTAGATGCCCGTAGCCGCCTCCGCGCACCAGCGTCTGATGCAGGCGACGCTCGCGGTTGACTCCAAGCTAGTCTTCTTCAAGGAGCCGAGCTCCTGATAGCGGCGCGCCCACTTAACCTTCTCACGCACGGTCCAGCCGCGGCGCTTCTTCGTAGTGTCTTTGCTGCGAGGGGAAGGTGGGCGGGTGTTGGGATTATGGAGGGTGGGGTCCTTCGGCGCCTCCTTCTCAGGGAACGTGGGAATCGGGCCCGCCGCCGCCGCGTACTCATCGTCGCTGCCCAACGCCTCGTTGACGATGATGTCGTCAGGATTCGGCGCCTTCTTCGCCTTTTTCTTTGCCGCACCCTTGCTGGATCCAGGGTCTCCGTCGTCCTTGTGCTTCTTGTTGCTTGTGCGGCCACGAGCAGGGGCCTTTGCAGGGGCCTTAGCAGGGGACTTAGCAGGGGCTTCCACGACCTTTGCCTTTCCCTTCTCCGCAGCGGTGAGTAGGGGGCGACGCTCCTCCCTGGGACTGTCGTCGTCACAGAGCACCACGCGGGCGCGCTTCGTCGTGGACTGTAGGCGATGGCGCAGCCTCCGCTTCAGTAGCGGAACGTCATCGTCTGTCCCAAGGCGCCACGGGTCGTCGTCGTCGCCCTCACCCTCAAATAAGACGGCATCCGCAGCCACCTTGTTCGCCTCCGCCACCGCGTCCGCATCCGCAGGCGCCTCTGTCTCGAGTTCCGCCGCCGCCTCGTCGGCAGCCTCATTCGCATCCACCGCCGCTTCCTGTGCCTCCGCGTTGTCACCGCCAGCATCTTCACCTCCGTCGTTGTCGGAATCACCAGCCCGCCACTCTTCCACATCGTCGTCGCTCCCGACCGGCTGATTCCACCATTCGTCCTCCTCGATGTCGGCAGTACCAAATTCGTCGCCCGAAGCGCTGTCATCGTGGCCGTTCTCCGGCCAATCCTCCTCGGCGTCGTCGCCGTGTGCCTCGTCTCCGTCTTCCCCGTCACAGCTCGCACCGGAGGCGGCGGTAGGACTTCCCGCCTTGCTCGCGTTCTTCGCCATGGCTACGCGGATGTCATCGCCGGGCGAGTTAATTCGCCCGTAGTTATTCACCTGCACGTGAGGACGAGGTGAGGACTTGCCTAGGGGTACCTTGCTGCGCATGGTTAGAGAGCCTGCCGAGAGCAAGGTTGAGGTGAGAATTCAACCTCCATGAGCACCAAATGAAGTGAAAGCCCGACTACCCCCCCCAGCCAGAGTGCCCCATCCACAGGTGCCGAGCCGCTCCTCTACGAGGCATCTCCTCGTAGAGGACAGCCTGACGCTGCCAACGTGCTGCCAGCAGCGTTCTGGAAGCTGCCATGCGCTGCTGGCAGCAAAACGACGCTGGCAGCATCATTAGATGCTGCCAGCACAGAGGAATCTTGCCAGCGGTGGCAGCTTTGCTGCATCACCACCGAGGTCGGCCTGTTTAAATGAATCTGGTCCCGGGGTGTTTTCTACACACTTTGCTAGTGTTATAGTCAACTTAATTTTTTTTCCATTTATAAGAATTATAAGACACCCTAAACCATCCCGTTTACAAGATAACTCAAGCATTTTTGCCCGTGTACGAGATAAGACATATATGTCTTATATCCGGGCGATGACGGTAGTATAATGGAAAGATGTGATACATATCGAAATTTGTGGTAGCCTTACTGTGAGCGGCGTGGGAAAGGTTGGGAGGCGTTGAAGTGTCAGTGGCTTACTGTCGACATTTCTTTGTGAAATCGGGCCCTCAAGTCGCAAAGCTTTGAATCCGGGTTCTTGGTTCTAGTGTGTGTGTGTGTGTGTGTGTGTGCGTGTGTGTGTGTATGTATGTGTGTGTGTGTGTGTTGTCAAGCCATATCTGTGCTAGTTGTGTGTAGGCTATAGTGGGGTAGCCCGTGTGGGGTACAACCCAATATTAGGGTTAGTACTTGTACCCACAATTCATTCAATGCAATCATTCCTGCTTGCTATCTTGACATGGTTTCAAAGCAGTAGGTCCGTAGGACCGTTCTTTTTTCCGGGCCCACCATACTTACCGTCATCGCCCGGATATAAGACATATATGTCTTATCTCATACGCTACTCAAAATGCTTGGGTTATCTTGTATTTGGGACGGTTTAGGGTGTCTTATAAGTCCCGTAAATGGACAAAGAACCGTTTAGAAGATACCCCCTCGCTATTCAATTGCCCCTAACCCCTACACTGGCTGAATTCGTACACAGAAATATGTGTCTTATAATGAGGCTAGCCTGTTTATAAGAGACACCCGGATAATAGACAACCCATGTCTACTATTCAACACTGTCTTCTATCCGAGCGACGACGGTAGCGATCGACTGCGGTTACCGCGTTACCCCACTACCCTTCGTCGCGCTGCCCCGCGCACGGCCTGCCCTGCCTCGCGTCGCGCTGCCCTGCGCACGGCCTGCCCTGCCTCGCGTCGCGCTGCTCTGCGCACGCCCTGCCTTGCCCCGTGCGCGCTGCCTAGCGCACGCCTTGCCCTGCGCCAGTGCCCTGCCCTGCGCCAGCGCCCTGCCCTGCGCCAGCGCCCTGCCCTGTGCCGGCGCCCTGCCCTGCGTCAGCGCCCTGCCCTGCGCCAGCGCCCTGCCCTGCGCCTGCGCCCTGCCCTACGCCCGCGCTACTGCCCTGCGCGTCGCGCCCTACGGCAGCCCACGCGTCGCGCGCTGCTGCCCCGCGCGTCGCGCCCTACGGCAGCCCGCGAGTCGCGCGTTGCTGCCCCGCGCGTCGCGCTCTACTGCAGCCTGCGCGTCGCGCCCTGCTGCCCCGCACGTCGCGCCCTACGGCAGCCCGCGAGTCGCGCGCTGTTGCCCCGCGCGTCGCGCTCTGCCGCAGCCCGCGCGTCGCGCCCTGCTGCCCTGCGTGTCGCGCCCTGCTACAGCACGCGCGTCGCGCCCTGCTGCCATGCACAGCGCGCGCCCTGCTGCTCTGCACAGCGCGCGCCCTGCTGCGTGCGCCACCCAGGCCGAGGCGAGCCACCCTGCCCGAACCGATCCGCCTTGCTGCTCGTGCTACTGCTGCTGTTGGTGGAGGTGCTGCTAGGAGTGCTGGAGGTGCTAGAGCCTAGCCTCACGAGCCGCTCTGCTGTTCGTCTTACTGCTGCTGCTACTCGTACTACTGCCTTCACTACGTACTGCCCTCCTTGCTTGCCCGCCATGACTTCACTTTGTGGTCGCGGTGGGAGTGGTGACGGCGGTGGTGGCAACAGTGGGAGTCGTGGCGGCCGTAGTAGTAGTCACTGTGGAGCTGTGTAGTGTGGAGTCTCTGGCGGTGGCCAGATGTAGCTACGCCGGCGTCCGACCTGTACGCCCTAGCAGCTTCGTGAGCTGCTTTACCAGCGTGGGACGTCTCCGAGTCCTGGTCGCTGTCCGTACGTTATTCGCACAGGTCGTCGAGCTGGTCAGACCTGTGGGACATCTGGTCACGCACAGTCCTGCTGCTTCGCCTATTTGACTGACACCTGGCACGCAGAGTTTGGCGACGAGGCTGAGACCCCCCACTGGCTTGAGCTGCTTAGGTCGGGCGTTGATGTCTTTGCTGTAGACTATGACGCCATCCTTACTGCCATGTCTGCTTTGCCTGGTGGTGCTGCGAGTGACAGTTACCTGTGTGTGCAGTACGACCCCGGTATAGAGGTTGCTGCTCTAGGTGCTAGTGAGGCTGCTGCCTTAGGTGCTGGTGAGTCTGCTCTCTCAGGTACTGCGCCTGCAGAGGCCTTGCACACCTTCACGCTTGACTCAGGTGCTTCCCGCTGCTTCTTCCGTGACAGTACCGCACTCACACAATTCCCTGCACCTGTTGCAGTCTCTTTGGCTGACCCCTCAGAGGACCCAGTTCTTGCATGATCCACCACTGTGCTTCCGTACCCAGCGGTTCCGTCTAACTCACTGTCAGGTCTCCACCTCCCCTCGTTTGCGACGAACTTGGTGAGCAACGCCGTCCTCCAGGATCATTGGGTTGACACATTTACCCCTGAAGGACAGCGTGTGGCGACCTGTACGTGCTCCAGGACTGGCCGTCACCTGGCCACGTTCACCCGTCGGCCAGGGTCGAGTCTTTACACACTGACGACTGTGTCTCCTCAGGTAGCTGTTGTCGGTCAGGTGTCTGCGTCAGGTCTGGTAGCCTCCCCTTGTGAGTGTCGCTCCGTGTCGCACCAGACTCTTCTCTAGCACCACCGCCTGAGTCACCCCTCCTTGCCACGTCTCCGTGGCATGCACCGTCGCCTCCTTGTGTCTGGTCTTCCTAGGTCTCTCCCTCCCCTCCCTGCCTCGCCTGCACCTCCCTGCCTTCCTTGCGTCGAGGGGCGGCAGTGCGCCGCTCCTCACTCCTCCTCGTTTCCCTCGACAGAGGCTCCTCTGCAGACCCTCAACCTGGACGTGTGGGGCCCAGCCCGCGTTCGTGGACAGGGCGGTGAGCGGTACTTTCTGCTGTTTGTCGACGACTACTCGCGTTACATCACGGTCTTCCCTTTGCGCACCAACGGTGAGGTCCCTGCTGTCCTGATCCCTTGGATCCGAGCAGTTCGTCTCCAGCTCCGCCGCAGGTTCTGCCAGGACCTTCCTGTCCTGCGTCCGCACTCTGACAGAGGTGGCGAGTTCACCTCCGACCTCTTGCGGGCCTTCTGTCAGGGGGAGGGCATCGAGCAGTCGTTCACGCTTCTGGGCTCACCGCAGCAAAATGGGGTTGCTGAGCGCCGCATTGGCTTAGTCATGGAGGTCGCTCGTACCTCCTTGATCCATGCGGCGGCTCCCCATTTTCTGTGGCCGTTTGTGGTCCGGTACGCCGTGCAACAGCTCAACCTTTGGCCCCGTGTCTCCTTGCCGGAGACCTCGCCCACACTGCGTTGGACGGGGGAGGTTGGCGATGCGTCGCGTTTCCGGGTCAGGGGTGCTCGTGCCCTTGTCCGCGATACGTCCGCGGATAAGCTCTCCTCCCGCACCATTCCCTGTGTCCTCCTTGGCTTTGTCCCTGACGCGCCTGGCTGGCAGTTATACCACCCCACCTCGCGCCGTGTCTTCCCCTCTCACGACGTCACCTTTGACGAGTCGGTTCCTTTCTACCGTCTCTTCCCCTACCGCACTGCCCCTCTCCCTCCCCCGCCAAATTTCCTCGCTCCAGGTCCCCCTCCGGTAGACCCCCTCCCCCCTTAGGGTCCTGCTCCTTCAGGTGTGTCTCAGGTAGACCCGCCCCCCGTGGCTGAGCCTGTAGAGGTCACTAGCGACTCCGGTGCTGCTGCGGGAGGTGCTACTGGGGGTGCTGCGTCTGGGGGTGAGCCTACGCGTGAGGTGCTGGGGAGTGCGGAGCCTGGGGGTGCTGAGCCTGCGGCTGCGGAGTCTGGGGGTGCTGAGCCGGAGGGTGCCGGGTCGGGGGGTGCTGAGTCTGCTGGCGTTCCTCTGGGTCTCGTTTCACGACGCGGGCCTGTCTCACCACAGCAGGCATGAGAGTGGCTTGCGTCGCGTACCCGCGTGAGGAGTCGTGCTGCTGGAGCTGCTTGTCGTGGAGGCGCTGGGAGTGCTGGTGTCTCTGGTCCTGGAGGTGCTCATACTGGAGGTACTGGAGCTGACAGAACTGGTACTATTCCTGGGGGTGCTGAGCCTGCGGCTGCGGAGCCTGGGGGTGCTGAGCCTACGAGTGCGGAGCCTGGGGGTGCTGAGCCGGAGGGTGCCGGTCGGGGGGTGCTGAGTCTGCTGGCGCTCCTCTGGGTCTCGTTTCACGACGCGGGCCTGTATCACCACAGTAGGCACGAGAGTGGCTTGCGTCGCGTACCCGCCTGAAGAGTCGTACTGCTGGAGCTGCTTGTCATGGAGGCGCTGGGAGTGGTGGTGTCTCTGGTCCTGGAGGTGCTCGTACTGGAGGTACTAGAGTTGCCGGGACTGGTACTGCTCCTGGAGCTGGAGGTGTCTGCTCTTGGGGTGTTGCTGCTGGAGGTACTGGGGCTGGAGGCTCTGGAGCTGGTGCTGTCGACCCTAGCGTTGGAGTCCCTGGAGTTGGAGGTGCCGGTTCTGGGGGTGCTGCTGCTGGAGGCCCTGGAGTTGGTACTATCGACTCTGGAGTTAGGGACCCTGGGGCTGGAGGTGCTGGTTCTGGGGGTGCTGCTACTGGTGGCGCTGGAGCTGGAGGTTCTTGAGCTGCTGGAGGAGCTGGAGCTGGAGATGCTGCTGCTGGAGTCACTGGAGCTGGAGGTGCTGCTGCTGGAGGCGCTGGAGCTGGAGGTTCTGGAGCTGCTGGAGGCGCTGGAGCTGGAGGTGCTGCTGCTGGAGGCGCTGGAGCTGGAGGTTCTGGAGCTGCTGGAGGCGCTGGAGCTGGAGGCGCTGGAGCTGGAGGTGCTGCTGCTGGAGTTACTGGAGCTGGAGGTGCTACTGCTGGAGGCCCTGGGGCTGGAGGTTTTGGAGCTGCTGGAGGCACTGGAGCTACTGGTAATGGTGGCACTGCATCGCCACGACTGTTTTTCGCTCCGCCGTCACCGTCGTCTCTGCTACCGCCTGATCCTGTGCTTTGCCAGGTTCTTAGCCTCCCGTCTTCTACTGGCCTCCCGTTACAGCCCGGCGCACCACTGCTTGCTCCTTCTCCTTACACTAAGCAGACAGACTTGCTTAAAGAGCGTCGTGAGCATGCGTCTCGTCCTGCCTCGCCTGTTCGCGCGCGTCGCATTGGTAGTCGTGTTCCTCGTGAGCTTTCGCCTCCTGTCCCTGGCACGCACGCTATGGCACTTTGTCCTTCCTTTGTTCCACAGCGTGTTCCCCTACCGTCTCCTCCTGCGTCTTCTCTGGCTGACGTTCAGGACCTCGAGTCTGACCTGGTTCGTGCTGCTCACCCTACTGTCACGTGTCTGCTAGCTACTGTTGTCACTGACCCGTCGTTTGAGTCTGCTGCTGCGTCTGCCTTAGTCTCTGAGCTGGTTGACTTTGCTGCTGCCTGTCGTCTCCACTTCGCTGCTAGTCTTGTTGCTCAGTCTGAGTCTGTGTGTCCTCTGTCCATCGGGGGTGAGTGTGCTCTTGGCACGGACGTCCTTGAGGAAAGGCAGGAGGACTTTGAGTGTCTTGGAGCCGCTGCGCCTCATCTCGTGGCCATGCTGCTTGCCCATGGGGGAGACCCGGATGCTCCAGACATCTTGACCCCGCGCTCTTACGCTGAGGCGATCGCGGGTGAGTACTCCTCTCAGTGGCAGACAGCCATGGACGCAGAGATGGCATCCTGGAAGTCCACAGGCACTTACGTTGACGCAGTTCCCCCTTCTGGGGCGAACGTAGTCGATGGCATGTGGATTTTCAGGGTGAAGCGGCCGCCTGGTTCTCCGCCTGTCTTCAAGGCGCGTTACGTTGCACGAGGCTTCAGTCAGTGACAGGGAGTTGACTTCTTCCAGACCTTCTCCCCCACCACGAAGATGACAACTCTTCAGGTTCTGCTGCACGTTGCCGCTCAGCGTGACTACGAGCTTCACTCCCTGGACTTTAGCATAGCGTTCTTACAGGGCAGTCTGCACGAGGAGATCTGGCTGCGCCGCCCACCTGGCTTCACTGGGTCGATCCCTCCTGGTACCCAGTGGAGCCTCCGCCGGCCAGTCTACGGTCTCCGTCAGGCGCCTCGCGAGTGGCACAACACACTAAGGACGACACTTGCGGCTCTTGGGTTTGCTCCTTGGTCTACTGACGCGTCGCTGTTTCTGCGCACCGACACTTCGTTGCCACCGTTCTACATCCTCGTGTACATCGACGACTTGGTCTTTGCCACTGCTGACACTGAGGCTCTCGCCCTTGTGAAGTCGGAGCTATAGAAGAGACACACGTGCACAGACCTGGGTGAGCTGCGCAGCTACCTTGGCCTACAGATCACCCGGGACAGAGCACGGTGCACCATCACACTGAATCAGTCACACATGGTGCAGCAGGTCCTTCAGCGCTTCGGCTTCACTTGGTCCTCGCCACAATCCACTCCTTTAGCTACCGGTCACTCGCTCTCAGCTCCACCTTAGGACGAGTCTGTAGAGCTGAGTGGCCCGTACCCAGAGCTAATGGGCTGCCTCATGTACCTGATGACCTGCACTTGTCCTTACCTCGCGTACCCTCTTGGCCTTTTGGCACGCTACGTGGCTCCTGGTAGGCACCGAAAGGTGCACATGGATGCTGCGAAGAGGGTACTGCGCTACTTGTGCAGTACATCGGGCATGGGGCTCGTGCTTGGAGGGCGGAGCTCAGTTGTCCTCACTGGGCACTCAGACGCTTCTTGGGTTGACGACCTGGCTACGCAGCGGTCGTCACAGGGTTACACGTTCAGCCTTGGCTCTGGCTCTGTTTCTCGGCAGTCTACACGCTCGTCTTTTGTTCTCAGCTCCAATTGTGAGGCTGAGATCTACGCCACAGCCATGGCTGCACAGGAGCTACGCTGGCTCACCTACGTGCTGACTGACTTGGGAGAGAGGCCTCGTTCTCCTCCAGTTCTGTACGTCGACAACAAGGCTGCCGTTGCCTTGTATCAGGACCACAGACTGGAGCATAGAACGAAGCACATCGCTCTGCATTACTTCCTTGCTCGAGAGTTGCAGCAGCGTGGTCAGCTTCGTGTCGCTCACGTGCCCACCCGGGCCAACACGGCTGATGTGTTCACCAAGGCCCTTCCGGCTGGTGATCATCAGTGCTTCTGCACTGCTCTAGGCCTGGTGCCTACATTTCCTCACTTGCTGTAGACTCTGGTTGTACTGTGATACATATATATACACCTGCATGTTTACTCTTGCTAGGTAGTGATCACTGTACTGTTGTTGTTGCATATATACCTTTGCATGTGAACTGGCCTTGTGGCCCTTTGTTTGTGCTCGGAGTGTGTGGTGACGTTGTGATCCACCCTGAGCTTGCTTTGCTTTTCTTGACTGGTCTTGTGACCCCTTGTTCTCCCTCACTTTGCCTATGGGGGTGTGTCAAACCATATCTGTGCTAGTTGTGTGTAGGCTATAGTGGGGTAGCCCATGTGGGGTACAACCCGTGCTTGGCCTGGCGGTGGAGACCTATGGGGCCCTGGCCAGGGACACCCAGAGGTTCCTACGCATGCTCGGGACACAGGCGGCCAAGAAAAAGTACAGATAGGGGAGGCTCACTACGGTGGCCTCCAAGCTCACTGCACATTACTGACAGCACTGGTCGGTAATGCTACAGCACAGCCAGGCCAATACCATGCTGGCCAAGTCGAATAGGGCCACGGAACGGGCCTTCCCCCAGGCGCTAGCAGACCCGTGGGAGCCCCGCCTAGGGGACCTCTGGCAGGTCCTGGAGGACGATTTGGACTGGGGGCCGGACCTAGATGTGTGAGGGGCCCGGGCAAAGGGGACCCCAGGCAGTGGTGCCCGGGTGACAGGTATTTGGTAGGCCCTGGCTTCGCCGGGCCAATTAGCAGGATGGAGATAGGTCGTTGCTTGTCTGCTTGTTTGCTTGTTTGCCGGCGGGTTGGCTTGTTCGCTAGTATACATGCTAGGATGAGTTCTTCTTACATGCCTGGCCTGTACCTTGCTTACTATCAATGAAGGACCGCTTGAGAGAGAGTTGATAGAGAGAGAGAGAGAGAGAGAGAGAGAGAGAGAGAGAGAGAGAGAGAGAGAGAGAGAGAGAGAGAGAGAGAGAGAGAGAGAGAGAGGCACATAGGCCCCTTCCCTTAGCCTCTCAGCCCTTGTCCCCTTAGTATAAAGTCTCTAGTGGCTGGTTCCAGAGCTCATTATTCATTGTGGGCACTCATTCTCTCCTAACCGAGCGGCAGAGAGAGAGCGAGAGAGAGAGGAGAGAGAGAGAGAGAGGCACATAGGCCCCTTACCTTAGCCTCTCAGCCCTTGTCCCCTTAGTATAAAGTCCCTAGTGGCTGGTTCCAGAGCTCATTATTCATTGTGGGCACTCATTCTCTCCTAACCGAGTGGCAGAGAGAGAGCGAGAGAGAGAGGAGAGAGAGAGAGAGAGGCACATAGGCCCCTTACCTTAGCCTCTCAGCCCTTGTCCCCTTAGTATAAAGTCCCTAGTGGCTGGTTCCAGAGCTCATTATTCATTGTGGGCACTCATTCTCTCCTAACCGAGCGGCTCGCGCCGGCCGCCTTCGGCGGCCGACGCTCGACAGTGCGGCCTTCGGCCGCGCGCTAGGGGTGGCAAGTGTCAACACACACAGAGCTATAATCAGGCTTACAAGAAATGACAACAACAGTCACGGCCTAGGCAACGCTACGTCCTACGGCAAGGATGGCGGGGGCACCGGCGGAAACTACATCTGATCCGCGTCAAGAACAGCAAGGAGCCCCGTCATCGAGCGATGAAGCTCGCGCACCACCACCGTGGTTGCGTCGATCAGGTCGACTGCAGTCGCTGCGCGCATCACCCGGCGCAGACCACGGAGCGCAGTCCCAAGCTGTCCAACGCCCGCAACTCCACTCCGCGCGGGCGCAGCCAACACGGGCGCAAGGAGCTCGGCAAGCCGGTCAGCGGCATCCGAGCACTCGTCCAGGGGGCTGCCTACCAGAGGCACGCCGCGAGAAAGAGCCGCGTGACAATACACCTGGATCAGGTGAACAGCCCGCAGACCCTCAGAGAGGCGCCAAAGCTGCCCGAGAGACGCCTCAGGCACATCCGCCGAAGGAGACGGCCCTACCAGCGATTGTATCGGAAGATCAGCAGCTGGCGGATCAGGAGCCATGGGCAGCAGAGATGGATACTGCGGCGTCACCGGTCCTGCGCCCGCGGTCACGAACTCCATGCCCGCCATTGGAGGAACCCACGGCAACCGCAGACGGTTCCCAGGAGCAGCAACAGATGCAACGGCAGCACAAGGAGGAGGAGCGGCAGACGAGGGAGGAGGAGGAGCAGGCGCATAGGGCGCAGCTGGAGGAAGAGACACCGGCGCAGGAGCGACGCGCGGCAAATTGCTCAGGCTCGCCCGCCCGTTCCGCTCCTCGCGCATCGCGTTAGACACAACTCGCTGCAAGTCGGCCATTTTCACCGGCTGATCATACACCCAGCCGCCACTGCGACCACGCCCACCCCACCAGCCCCCTTGGCCGCCACGGGGTGCAGCTCGGTTTGCCTGCGAACCTCGGCGCCGAGGGGAATCGTGCCGCCGCCGTGACATCTCCCGCTCGTTACACGGCACAGGGGAATGAGGCCGATGCTGCCGACGGCCCGGGGACGGAGGACGTTGAGCAAGAGGAACAAGAGCAGAGGGTGCGGGAGCAGGACCCGCCTGGACGGTCGGAGGCAGCGCGGTTGCTGCCGCAGGCAGAGGGGCAGGAGCAACCGGAGGCGACACGCGAGCCGACTGAACCTCCGCCGAGCTCAGGCCGGCGCTGGTGGGTGGAGGCGGCTGGTAAGCTGGGTCCACAACAGCAGCAGCAGAAAGCGCCATGGCAGGCGCAACCAGTGGCATCGCGGAGGCTGCTCCAACAGCAGCAGACGATGCCGCAACCACAGGCACGGGCGCCGACACCCCCACGGGGACAGGTGGAACCACCGGCGCAGGCGTAGGAGTGTGCGCAGGATTTGATGCCGCAGCCGGCCCAGGGGCAGGCGCAGGAGCAGACGCCGAGGCGAGTGCGGGAGTAGGTGACGACGCAGGCGCAGGACCAGGCGCCTTGCCAGGCGCAGACACCGACGCCACGACGGGAACGGGCGGCGCAGTAGGCGCGAGGACAGGGCCGGCCTGAGTTACGGATGACGGCGCAGATCGAGGTGCGGGAAGAGGCGACATCCCCACGGCTGCCGGCGCCGGGGGAGATACGGTCGGAAGGGCTATTGCAGCTGACGCCATGACAAAGGGCCGCGGCGAATACGGATAATAGTCGTCGCCTAGCGATACAGGCATCGCGGGGCGGACGAGGTGTCGGATGAGGAAAGGCGTCTGGGAGGGGAGGCGGACCAGAGAATGGCTTCCAGAGGGAAGCACGCTGGGCCCTAACTCGAAGAGTTGATCGAACGGAAGCTGAGGAGGAAGCATCTGATCCTACGTTTATAGCTGAAGCGGTGGAAGAGTCCACCACGGAAGAGTCGGGGGAGTTAGAGGAAGAGGAATGGGAAGGTAGAAGCCGGGCACGCCCAGCACCACGTCAAGCCGCCCCAAGACCAGCCACCCCGGGGGGTGAGCCAAACCGGCAGGAACCAGACACCACCGCATCAGAGCCCCGCCAATTTTCACCTGAGCAATTGGCCAGAGACACAGCGCGGTTCGGAAGTTGAATTGTGGGACCTGACTCCCCTACGCGACAGTCGTCAGCCCCCACTTTCGCGCAAACTCCCTGCTGACATTCGCCCGCTTTTCGCCACTGCCCTCCTGACACCACTACTCCACCTCGCGCATAACCCGGGGTCAGTCGCAGGTTGGCGCCTGTTACTCTTCATCCCGCGACTCACCCTTCGCCTCCCCTCAACGGAGAAGCCCGATTGGCCGGCAGTCAAGCGCTGTCTTCGCCAATTCAACAAAGGCGAATGGCAGCAGCTGTACGACTCGGCAATTACCGCGATCACTGCACCACACCCGCCTCGCCACACGCCAGATGCCCTTGGCAAACGTGCCAGGGCAGAAGGCCTCGAGCGAAAAGGAAGCCTTCGCAGAGCGATCCTCGCCCTCGAGTCAACGCCGGTCGCCGACCCATCTGCAACCATCCTCGCCGCGCTCAAAGCACAACACCCCCCCGCTCCACCTGGAATCATCGATTGGGACATCCCCGATACAGTCCAAGCCGCATCGATCGAAAAAGGGGACTTCATAAAAATGCTATGCCGCTGCGAGAACGGTGTGGGAGGGGGACCGTCTGGT